CCTCATTCATGTCTGTTGACGAACTATACAAAATTACCGCACCTTTGACGACACTTACTCTATTATCCGCACCGCATTCGCTACGTATTCCTTATTTTCCGAGTAAAAACTCAACAAAAGCGGCTTTATTAGTCGCGCCAGCTCTAAAATATCGACCTGCAACTTGAAGGCTTCCAAGTATTTTTCGCTTAGAGATGCTTCAAATATATCCAGCCAAGCGATTCCCTTCAATTGCCGCCTGGCCAAGAATCGATCCTCCGTCCAACTGAATAGGTGAAAATGCTCCAAGTTTGTTGTTTTGATACTTTGATCGTTCATGCGGCTCTTGGTCAACTCATAGCGCACGTACAGGCAATTGTTTATATCGTTGCCTAATTTCTGTATCGCCAGCGCGCGTACTAGCTCGTAGGTTGGTCGCTGCTGCTTATGACGCACCAGCTCCCAGAGCTTATCAGGTTCACAGATTGAGGGAATGCTGACAAGCGATTGCAATTCTCTCACGAATTCCTGATGAAACTCGGTCCAGCGGGTAGTCTTTAGTACATCGAACTCAAAACTTTCTCTTTTCGTTTTCTCCTTCTCTGCTTCGATATGTTCTTTTAGTTCTGGATGTTTAATTAAAAATGTGCTCAATACGTCATCCTTTAAGCTACCCGGAAGGCGTGAAAGAGATCCGCCCATCACCGACATTATTTCTCTGTGATCGTCTTCGTCCATATCGAAACAGAATGCGTCAATAAAGTCGATTTCGTCACCGCCATAGTTGCTGTAGCGGAATTGAGTGATGCTCTTTCTCAGTTCTATTTCTGCTGCCATTCTAGGATGAAATCACAGAGCCAAGCAATTGATAGCGTAGTACCTTCGCCGAATGGAAAGACCAAAACGCCAGCAAAAAAAATAAATATAAAAACTAATAATAAAAAATTTATATATATAAAAATATAAAAGAGAGTTTTACAAAACACGTGTGTCTTCTATGAAAAGTTGCTATGAAATGTAAAAAAATGAAGGAAAACATATGTATGTAAATAATCATTTGGAGAGATATAAAGTAACAGCCATGCCTAATTAAAAGCGTTGAGCGGAGCACAGCGTTAACGCTGGTAGGTTATACCTCTATATATACCGTTTTAACAAACCTTTAAGCTTTTATTTACTCTAGGTTTCAGGATCAATGAAGTGAACAGTCTTAGAGTCACTTCCGGGGTTTGGACCCACTCCGTATTTAGGTCCAAAAAGCCTCTGAACTGAATCCGCACGTTGATCTTAAACAGGTTCAGGATATAGGACAGAATAGGTGCGGGTTTAAAGACGATATTGCAACAGCCAGTTGTCCCACAGCCCTTAAAGTCGGGGTGTTAGAAGTCCCAGGTAAAGCCTTGAAAAAAGTTTTCACACAGCCAAGGGGCCATCCGGGTTAAATCTCTTATGCGTTATCATTTGTGAGCATTTGGTGCGCTGGGATACATATGTATGTGCATATAAACTTCGTATTTTTATACTTGTATATACATACAAACGTGGGTATAAATTTCACCCGATTTGGCCTACGAAACTACGCGAGCGTTACTCATAATCACTTCTCAGATTTCCATAGAGCCTGCGACTAACGGCAACTCAACGCAACTGATAATGGATTTGTCAAATTTCGGCAAATTTATTTACT